TAATACGGTTTACGTGATGAAGGTCTGAGATAACATTGGAGTGTTATCGGCTGGCAGCACCCCAGGGTGCTGTACTCTAATATTACTTTTATACATATTCTTTTTTCTGTGTCTTCGTGTAATGTTAACAGCTGATTTTTGCCCTTGTCCTGGTGAGGCTTCCTGGATGGTGAAAGAGAGAGAGATACGGTTGCAAATTAGGTGAGAGTGGTCGGTGACATCACAAAGGGGATTTAGGAGATCATCCTATGGTAAGGAGAGTGTGGGGGGAGTCACGGCGGCTCGAGTGGGATGTGTACTCATGACAACAAGGCCAGTTTGGAGCAGCTCTTCTGAATAAAGGTGACGCTGAACCCCTCTCCGAGAACAAGACGATTTTAGGGTGATTTCCCAAGAAATGTTCATGCAGGTCGACGTTCACTACCCGACCGTCTAAGTAGTTGGGCACCATTCCTCCCCCTTTCCCCCCCTCCCGTCCCATCCCAAATCCTTATCTTGACCGTCTTCCAAGTGTAATACAGTCGTAAGGGCTTGGCGCTCTCCCCTGATAATTCCCTCCCTCCCTCCCTCCCAAGAAACTGCAAGCCCTCCAGTGTCCATGGCTGGTCGACTGACGGCAGCAGAAGCGTGGTTGCCGTGGTCGGTCATATTTTTATCAGGGAGTGATTGGGGGTATCTGCCTCGTCGGTAAGCAAGTATCAGTTTGGCTCAATAACCAGTTTATAACCCTCCCCCCCGGTACAGTATGGCAGGTCTCCTCACATACGTAACAAAGTCGAGTGTAAGAACTGCTTGGAAATAGTTGTATCAGTAAATATGTAAATATGTAATATGTAAGGAAAATCTATAAAAGGTGCAGGTGAAAGGTGTGGATACGAGCGGCTGTTTCTTCAATCATGCAAATTTATTCCTACCTTGTGTTTACCTTCTGCTGGTCTCTGGGATCAATATCCTTGTGATCCGGTCTCTGACCAGGCCTCTCTGTATGTTGTATTATGGCGTTGTTTCTGCATGTTTTATTCGTTGTATTAGCTCTCTCCATACAGGTATACATCAGGTTCTCATGAGTACAGTTGTACTCACCTAGCTGTGCCAACGAGCTCTGGCTCTTTGGTCCCGCCTCCCAACTGTAAATCAACAGGTGTACAGATTCCTGAGCCTACTGGTGCATTCCACCTGTTAACTACTCTGACACTGAAAAAGTTTTTTCTAACGTCCCTGTGGCTTATTTAGGTACTCAATTTTAGCTTGTGTCCCCTTGTTCGTGTACCACCCACATTAAACAGTTTATCCTTATCTACCCTGTCAATTCCTCTGAGAATTTTGTAGGTAGTGATCATGTCTCCCCTTACTTTTCTGTCTTCCAGAGTTGTGAGGTGAAGTTCACGCAGCCTTTCCCCGTAACTCATGCCTCTTAGTTCTGGGACTAGCCTAGTGACATACCTCTGAACTTTTTCCAGCTTCGTCTTGTGCTTGACAAGGTACGGGCTCCATGCTGCGGCCGCATACTCCAGGATTGGTCTTACACATTTGGTATACAAGGTTCTGAAAGATTCCTTACACAGGTTTCTGAAGGCAGTTCTGATGTTAGCCAGCCTTGCATACACCGCAGATGTTATTATTTTTATGTGGGCTTCACGAGACAGGTTTTGCGTGATATCAACTCCTAGATCTTTCTCTCTATTTCATGAAGGACTTTATCTCCCATTCGGTGTCTTATGTCTGGCGTCCTGTTTCCACCGCCTAGTTTCATTACCTTACATTTACTCGGGTTGAACTTTAGTAGCCATTTGTTGGACCCTTCATTCAGTCTGTCTAGGTCATCTTGTAGCCTCCTACTATCTTCCTCAGTCTTAATCTTTTTCATAATTTTTGCATCATCAGCAAACAATGAGAGGAACGATTCTATACCTTCTGGAAGATCATTTACATATAACAGAAACAGTATAGGTCCGAGGACTGAACCCTGCGGGACTCCACTGGTGACGCCTCGCCAATCTGAGACCTCACCCCTCACAGTGATTCGCTGTCTTCTGTTACTTAGATACTCGCTTATCCACTGGAGTACCTTCCCATTCACTCCTGCCTGCATCTCCAACTTTTGAACTTGTCTCTTGTGTGGTACTGTGTCAAAGGCTTTCTGGCAATCCAAAAATATGCAGTCTGCTCACCTCTCTATTTCTTGCCTAATTTTTATTGCCTGATGTGTGTGTGTGTGTGTGTGTGTGTGATGACTCTGTTCACTTAGCAGTAAATATGACGCAGTGAGTTAGGAGAGTGTTGTGTCTTGCATTCTTACAAATCATCAGGCCTTGACCTAAGGAGGCATCAATAAGCCAAACAGGCCTCATGTTTCCATCAACGGGAAGCTGAATAATGAAACGGCGTCGATATATTTTGATTTGTAATGTTGCTTTTTCCTGTTCGCACGTTTTTCTCGAGTCGTCTAAATTATTTGTTTTAACCTTGTGAGTTACTTCAGGTGCATCATTACTGTGTCATTAACATTATCAAACCACACTTGACAGCATAACTGATTTTTTTTAATTGTAATCAAAATTTTCCTGTTATCGAAAGTGATGTTGAGGGATATGGGGCCGTCATTCCATCAGTCATGTTATCAGTCATTGGGTCTGGCCAGAATATAGATGGGTGATTTCTCTGACACTGTTTCGCCATATTCCTATCCTCCTTGAGGCTAGATAAACCGCCACATCTACTCCTTCCATCCAACCTCTTCAGAAAGCACTAAAGAGAGCCAGAAATAAGTATGTCACTATCAGGAGAGACGTAAATAAAGTTCACTGCAGCAAAAGTTACAAATAAAAAATCCCAGGCTGTTGGACAATCACAGCCACAAATGGCAGTAAAGGACTAATTGATTAGACTTATAAATTATGGAAATGTTTTAGCGAAGAACGAGAAGGAAATCTGTGGGAAACTCAACAAAAGAGTTCAGGAGTACTTTAAGACAGAGTCAGAGTGCCACACAGAGCCAGAGTGCCACACAGAGCCAGAGTGCCACACAGAGCCAGAGTGCCACACAGAGTCAGAGTGCCACACAGAGCCAGAGTGCCACACAGAGCCACACTCACTGAGTGTGAGTGATGACAGACGTGTACAGATCTGGACAAGCTTGTATCTTCCTCCGAGGAAGTGGAGACGCCCGTTGTTAACTACATGTAACGAACATGATTAACTCCAGACGATATAGTGTCATGTGGCATCTGAATGAAACTTCAGGGAGAGGAGGGGGAAATACGTAGGCATCTTCTCTAACTAGTGTCTACAACACAACCTCAGAGATCTGGAACTCCTTAATATGTGCAAAACAGTGAACCTAATAACGATATTCAAGAAAGGAAACCAACAAGAAGCCATAACTACAGAGTGGCTTCTATTGCATTCATTCCTTGCAGAGTGCTGGACAACACAACCAGAAAGTGAATAGTGGAACATCTGGATTAAAAAGACACTGTAACGGAGAGTTAACATGTATTTGGATGGGATACGTTGTGGTTGAAAAAGCTTTGGGAGCCTGTTGACAGACTCTCCATGAGTCAACAGGGCACAGCTGTGTACAGGCTGTATTTTGTAAAGCTGTCAAAAGCAAGTTTTTGTAAAATCGTGCCTTAGAAAAGCTGGAGTAGCAAGGTGGGATGATTGGTAAGATACCGTCCGGGTAAGGCAGGTCCTGAGGAGACAGGCGACAGCCGAAGGGGAAATGATAGGAAATGAGAACAGTGCCAAGCACCGTCCCTGAAGCCTTTTTTGGGGAGGATAAGGACCACGAAGGACGCTCGGCCACTTGGAATTGACGGTAGAGGGACGGTTTCGCCTCTTGCAGGTCAGCGTTCAATCACCGACCGTCTAAGTGGTTGGGCACCATTCCTTCCCTCAGTCCTATCCTAAATCTTTATCCTCATTTCACCTGCCAAGTCCCATAAAGTCATGTGGCTTGGTGCTTTCTCCTAATACCTACCATACTTTACCCACGAAGGACTTTAGCATACTTCTGGAGGACGTTAACAAGCTGCATCAATCGATAGACAAATAACAGCAAGAGGTTAATCCCAGCAAATATAAATTATTGAAGGTGGGAACAGGAGGACTGGAAACTAAGCGGGTTTTACGGCTTAAGAGGATGTCATCCAGGAGTTGAATTGCTTTAGCGTGGACATGACACTTGCATTAATACCAGAAGGGTTCGTAAATATTATGAAAGGGGCTTATGCAAAGCTGGAAAACAGTCAAACGGATTTTACAAATCTCGAACAAGGGCTTCTAGTGTATTGAACAGCGGTGAGAGTTGGTGGTGAAGGTGGCATTGCGGTGTTGCTCTTGGTCACTGTGTCTTGCAACATTGACTAACATTGCATGACTAAGATACAATAATATAATATAATAATTGATTTATCATATTTGATATCTAATAGAAATGAACATTAAATTATCATCTATACAATACTGTATAAAGTTTTAATATAAGGACAATATAGTGATATAATGTGATTTAAGATTATTCATTATACTATACTGTTCAGCACTATACTGTACCACGCTTCTCGAGGAATATACTCTGAAAGTATTAAAAGTTTACTTTAGTCTTTGATAATGATCAAGACAAAAGTATACTTGCTAGATGGTCAGTAAACTGTTTTGGTGACCTTAATAACCCTCCAGAGGTTGATAGGCCTTAAGACCATCATTAAACTTCCATGTCGGTCAGTTTGGTATTGTGGCGGCCTTAATAACCCTTCATAGTTTGATAGGCCTCAAACAGTACACCGAATCAAACCAATATACTAAATTTCAATGATATAATACACTCATACACAACCATATATTAAAATACTGAAGGACATACATATGTATTGCTGGTCAAGTTTTTGTGATAAGTGACCGCGTGAACGCCTCGCTGGCAACCCGTGCCAGTGGCAGGAACCTCCCAGTGTCGACCAGGGTCGCCAGTTGGCTGGCAGACACTGTAGTGGGTGGTTGTGTCGTGTTGCCTCTCCCACAGAACTTTCACTCCGCTCCCTGTAAACTGAGCTGTGACTCGCTCACCTCCGCCTTCAGTGTAGATATCTAAATTATTTGGTTATGCCATTTTATTTCTTCGCCTGAGCAGTTAGGATCAATGTGCTGAGGAGAAACAAATATATTTGTATTGAAATCAATCTGCATATTCGAGAAACTATATTCCCTTCGCCTGCCCCTAACTTCATTGAAAGTAGAACTTGGTAAAACGTTTAATGTAAGTGTATAGGTTTGAAAGTAATTATTTGAGGTATTCAAGTTAACCAATTTTTTCTGAGATAATTATCTTGTGATCTCTCAGTGGAACAAGTTAACAAGTTTAAATAAGAGCATAGATAAGTTGTCCAGAGGAGCAAGACCTGACGCGCCCCCCAAAAAATCACGAAGTAGTCTACGGAATCTTCCCGCCAGAGTTCACTAGCGATGGTTTGGTGTGCTCGCTCCGGGGCCATCGGCTGCTCCCTCACCCTTGCCGCTATAGGTAAGCAAGTTACTGTTGGTGCTGGCTGAGGTGTCGGCTGTGATCTTCGGCGCCGCTAACTCTCTATAAATTGTTAAGTTAGTAGACAGCTGTGTGCTAGTCACTGCTGCTCCCTTGTGTGTGTGTGTGTGTGTGTGTGTGTGTGTGTGTGTGTGTGTGTGTGTGTGTGTGTGTGTGTGTGTTCTCATTCCTGATGTATGTTTGCCTTCATTCACACGGGTATTTTTGTATTTATACCACTGTGTATGTTTATACACGAGTGTGTGTATTTGTGTGTATATGCGTGTATAATTTAATACCTTTTTTGTGTGTTTGTGTGTATCTCTTATTGAGATTGTAAATGTTTGTCTAAGGAAAATGGGCTTGCTTTACGTATGTTTTTCCCTACTATTGTATATAAGTGCGTCTGTTCTCAATAACAAAAACTGAAATACAGAAAAAGATCTGAAATGATCCGTATTAAAAAAATCCAAAATAATGATACCTTAACTGTTTTTTCTTGATCGTTTTGCGAATATTAAGAAGCTTCTCAAGAAAGTTTTTAAGTATTACAAAGGGTTGTGCATTGGTATAAATTATTTTGTTAAATAGGTTTATATTTTAATTCTGGTTATACAAACCATTCTTAAATTATTCATAGTACATTGTGAGTCATAATTCATGTTCCATGTAGTGTAAGTTGGCTTAAAAAAAAAATAAAAATAGACTCTGTTTTTTTCAGTTGCTTCTGGGTAGGTAAACTGAAAGGAATACTTCCTCTGGTATACAGAGTGAGAGTATACATAAACCCTTAATATTTTTTGTGTTTAAATTTTATTTTTAAGCTTAAAAAACCGGAATATTTATTTTAATGACCCTGGTAGTCATTAAGACGTACCTCGTAGTCCCCTCATCTAACCTAAATTAACAAAACTTAATTAACCAAACTTAACCTAACCTAACGCACCTAACATAACCTAGCTTAATCTAATTTAACCTAACCTACCAAAGCTAGTCTAACCTACCAAACCTAATCTAACCTAAATTCATTTATCTAACTTAACCTAACCTAACTTATCTAACTTAACCTAATCTAACTCACATAAGTCTAACCTATCCTATCTTCAGGTACTCGTTATATAAGAGTTCATAGTTCACAGTCTTTCAGTACGCTATATGCTATCTACATTTTATTAATTATGAAAGTACTAATAATTAAATTAAAACATATATTTTATACCAATTAAATTTCATTTAAAAGTGTGCGATATTTGCATGTGTTTTTGAGAGCCTGAATTGTGAATAAGAGTTAATATTTTTTTAAATAGAGTGAATCAAAGATCTTGTATATTGGTGTGTTTCAACAAGATTCCTGTCCAGGAAAATACCATGAAATTCCTTTATAGGAAAAGGCCATCAAATTCCTATATAGGAAAAGGCCATGAAATTTCTTTATAGGAAAAGACCATGAAATTCCTTTATAGGAAAAGACCATGAAAGTCGAGAGGAATGTAGAAAGAAAGGTGAAGAATAATCAGAGTCCTATACAGAATAAGACCATGAGGGTCCTATACAGAATAAGACCATAAGAGTCCTATACAAAATAAGACCATGAGGGTCCTATACAGAATAAGACCATGAGGGTCCTATACAGAATAAGACCATAAGAGTCCTATACAAAATAAGACCATGAGGGTCCTATACAGAATAAGACCATGAGGGTCCTATACAGAATAAGACCATGAGGGTCCTATACAGAATAAGACCATAAGAGTCCTATACAAAATAAGACCATGAGGGTCCTATACAGAATAAGACCATGAGGGTCCTATACACGATAAGATCAAAAGAGGCAGCTATGTTTTCCTTTTATATAATTAATAAGAGCGAAATCTCTCGGTGTAACATGGTAAAAACTGCCATATATCCACATAGAAATCACAATAGCGTGATGAATCAAATGAACAAATCCACCAATGGCCGTGATGAGGACTCATCACGGCCCTGGTGGAGCTGCCATAGATCATTTATGCATTAGCAGAATACAACTGCTTCCGAAATGTGAAAGAAAAAAAGTTATGTCATGAAATGTTCGTACATTTTAGAAAATAATACTTAATATAACAATATATTAATTTAAATGAATAAGTAGATGCATAACTTACCTGTCTATGATAATTTAATGTATAGAGCCATTAGAGGTGCCATTAGAAGTACTTGAAGCAGTCATGGCTAAAAGATAATAGTTGAAATTTATATAAAAACGAGTTCGTAAACTATGTTCAGAATCTGAAACAAGGTTTTAAAAACTTAAGTTCTGTCAGGGGCGCCTGACAGCTGAGTGGACAGCGCTTCGGATTCGTATTCCTGAGGTTCCGGGTTCGATCCCCGGTGGAGGCGGAAGCAAATGGGCAAAAAGTTTCTTTCACCTTCATGCTTCTATTACCTAGCAGTAAATAGGTACCTGGGAGGTAGACAGCTGCTACGGCCTGCTTCCTGGGGTCGTGTAACAAAAAAGGAACCTGGTCGAGGACCGGGCCGCGGAGACGTTAAGCCCCGAAATCATCTCAAGATAACCTCAAGATAACAATTATGCTCAGAAAACTGGAATTATTCCAATATGTAAAATTATTAAAATGACAAAAAACTTTTTCTCACAAATGTAAATTGGCCTATACTATGAACCAGTCTGTAAATTAAACACATTTAAACGGTCAAAATTGTTCTCGGGCAACAGGTAGCATATAATTATGTGGTTAAAGGTGATTATGAGAAGGTTAAAGGTGATTATGAGAAAAGAGACGCAAAAGTATACTTAAATAACACTAGGTGGGGGGGGGGGGGGAGGAGGATATAAGGGTAAGGAGCCGGAGTATGACGATAAAGGGATGGAATATTGCCTAAGCACCTTGACCATCGGGGATCGAGTGCGGACCCCTACAGGAAGCTGTGCCAACTAGTCTAAGTGAGTGGGCCTGAAGCCTATAATTTCGGGTCACGTCACAGCCTCTTGGCAACATTCACAGTCATTGTGGTGAGGTTATGTTGGTTACACCAGCCGATGGATGACGTTAAATTAATGGAGTCTCATTTCTCACGAAAGCTATTAAGGCTAAATAGTTTTTCCTATTGATCTGTTTTATATATGATATATATTTATATATATATATATATATATATATATATATATATATATATATATATATATATATATATATATATATATATATATATATATATATATATATATATATATATATATATATATATATATATATATATATATATATATATATATATATATATATATATATATATAATATATATATATATATATATATATATATATATATATATATATATATATATATATATATATATATATATATATATATATATATATATATATATATATATATATATATATATATATATATGGACGAAATTTCGGTCCATCCTGGACCATTATCAAGTCGATTGACTCATCGTCTGCGTATATATGAAGGAGTTGAGTTAGATATATATATCTTTATGTGTTCCTTAACACAAACGGTAAGAAGGTCATCCAGAGATTGTTCCTTTATTGATGATATGAAAATGCTATTATATATATCTAATTACAAACGTGATGAGGCGCCTGCTTCTGGAAGGAATGTATGGACAATGAAATTAAAACAATGTCAAAACGGTTCTAGTCCTTAGTAATGGAATATCAGAAAACATTTTAAAATCAGTAGAAAATTCAAATGAATGATTAAATGCAAAGATATTATCACCACATTGGTACGCACACACATGCACACTCACACCTACACACACACACACACACACACACACACACACACACACACACACACACACACACCACACACACACACCACACACACACACACACGCACACACACACACACACACACACGCACACACACACACACACACACACACACACACACACACACACACACACACACACACACACACGCAACACTGGAACCCGGAAACTTAACAACAGAGATGAATTAACACTTAAAGAAAAATAATAATTACGTTATATTACCAGATACGAGATTCATGGCAATAATATTGAATAAACATATATAAATAATTACCAAATAGGCTTATAATGATCATTAAGCTATCCCCCGGGTGCCCCATTATGCCATTTAGTGCCATAAAAGTGTCAGTCTCCAATGGGATTATCCTCCTAAATATCTTAATAAGCCATTTGAAGCGTAATGGGGGGAATCGGAGGCGATTGGCAGCGTGCAGGTCCGGGGGATATGTGGGAACCTGATCTATTCTTGGTATTATATTTTAATTGCTGTATTTTAATTCATAATACGTTTAAGTGGTATTTTACGCCCGTAGTGAAGGCCTCTCTGCTACGCATACTCTCACAACATTATATATTGTATATTCTGGTAGTAGACTTTTTTGTAGACATATGTTGTTGAAAATGACTGAAAGGGTAAGATTGGTGAAATAATCGACAGGTATAACGACAGATATAACAGGTATAACAGGTAAAACAGATATAACAGGTATAACAGGTATAACAGGTAAAACAGATATAACAGGTATAACAGGTATAACAGATATAACAGGTATAATAATCGACAGGTATAACAGAAGACTCGACATCAGCGAGGCACTACCCGCCAAACACACACCGAAACTACGACGTTGGTACAACGTTCGAACAAGTTTTAACGCCACCTAACCAGTTATAACAACCAATATAGCAGGTTGTAACAACGTTCTAATACGTCATAAACACGTTAAGCCAAGATGTAACAACTTTATTACAAGTTGTAACAAGCGGAAAATAGAGACAGTTTCGGTTTGTGTTTCCAGGGTACACATCAAAAAGTCAAGACCAGCAATCAACAACCAGTTAACTCATAAATACATTCTACCCACTTCAAGACCCCGAACCAACACAGAGACCGTAGCAGCAAGAACATTAGCTGTTTATTTTCATGCAATGTAATAGCCTATTAATATCCATTTTGTTTCATCCA